TATATATATATATATATAAGTGATGCAGGCTTCTGAACGGAGCGTATGTTATACGTTCCGCTTCAATGGAGAGCTGACACAAAATGAGTCTGTGGCTTTGACCAGAGGGTCTCGCAGTAAAATCACACAGCGTTCTTTTCACAGATCAGAGAGCAGGTTTCTCTAAAGCTGACCAACGCTGACTTTAACTTTCGACGAAAAAAAAAACAACTTTCGACGGAACACAGCGTTTTGCGCACATGTCTGAATATTGCAACACTACGGCAACACAACGGCAAGCCGGGCGTAGTTAGGTTGTAGCTTCGCTTCTTAGCTCTCGAAGAAAAGACTTAAACGCCACCTGCGCACAGTTTTCAACCCAAAAACTAACGATTAAACTGACAACTCTGATTTTATATCAGACACAGCGTTACTGCGAGTGGCCGGTAGAAGACAGATCTCTATCGTAGGCTAAATTTCTATCGTTTCTACCATGTACCGTTTGTATCGCGCATTCCTAGTCCCTGGTGTCCTTAGAAGCTCTTTAGTGTTGGCCATGGTGGGGAGGTTGGAGTGTGATTGATTGAGTGTGTGGACAGGTAACTTTTATACAGGTCAAAGTTCAAACAGGTGCAATTAATACAGGTAATGAGTTCAGAATAGGAGGGCTGCTGAAAAAAACTAGCATTTCTGTGAGAGATATAATTCTTTCTGGTTGGTAAGAGATTATGTCATGCAAATCAATAGTTTAAAATCATACAATGTGATTTTCTGGACTTTTTTCCTTATATTTTGTCTCTCACAGTTGAAGTGTACCAACTATAAAAATTACAGACCTCTTCATTCTTTGTAGGTGGAAAATCTTTCCACACTGGTACTGTATCAAATACGTATATGCACAACTGTCATGCAGGTAACTCTCCTCTAAACCCTGTTGCCTGTATGAATCAAACAGAGCTCCTGGTGAACTGAATCTCGAAGGATTCAAGCAGCACGTCCCCTGAATGTTCAGAGAAGTGGATGTAAGCGTACAATCAGCTTATTACTGATTAATGTGAGGGTTTTGCTGCGCCCTCAAGTGTAGTTACCGCTCGAGTTGCTCCTCGTCAATGAGTATTCAATAGATGCCAATAAACTCAAGCTCCTCGTTGACCCCCACACGAGATTCTCTGACCCCTGTAAGTCGATAAGTCAAAATCATGCAACTTTTATAGCTTCTCACGCAGCAGTTGTTGGCGTCGGACCTATCAGGCAGTCTCCGAGGTCCGTTTCAATTTGTTTACAAGTGTTAAGGCAGCAAAACCCTGAGTGAGACCAGAGTGTGAGTCAGACAGAGGCCATCTAAATGACCGAGGGAGGCAGGAAGGACACGCAAAGTGAGGAGGGAAAGGAGTTAATGTACCGAGCCCCCCCTACTAAAGGTTCCCTGGTGGATTTGTCTGGCTGATGACAGATCTGCACCTCCACCCCAGCACCATCACTTTACTGTACATCTCATCTGGCCAGAACACACCAGGGAGCAGAGTCAAAGACGCTTTCACGTCTCGGGGAGGGGTCCTCTAAGTAGCTGCTTTTAACACGAGCGTTCAAACTGGCCTCTTTTTTTTTTTGTCAGTGCAACTTAACTCTCAGATTTTTCATTCGGTCTCGCTTCGCTTTACTTTAGCAGTGGGATAATTCCAAGCGACACGCTTTCCCTGCTGAGGTTTGGCTCAAACGACGCGCGCAGGAGTCTTATTTACTCGTCGCGCCTTTTGCGCTCCTTCGTTTGTAAGTGAGAGCGCGGCTGCATTATTGATAAAGCGTCATAAGTGACCACGTTGCATTAAAAATGGATTGCTCTCATGAAATAAGTAAATTGTCCGTGAATAATTTAGGTGAGTCGCAGCTTGGAGATGTGATGTTTATGCTAATGTTAGCATTTCATACAACTGTCTTGTACATATGTTCCTGCAGGAATGAAACAGTTGACACTTGCTTTTTTATTTTTAAAGAAGGGACTTATTTTAATTAACGTTGTGATCTAAGACACGTTTCCATCATTCCTTTAAGATTTCTATTTCCCTCTGTGTTATTTATTTTTTTATTTTTTACCCTTCTAGTGCACCAAATACTTGTGGGCCCCTCAAAGACTATTGTCATTCGTTTATTTCAAGTTCCCTCCCAACATGTCACTTTTCTTTTTTCTTCTACCAAGCGCAGCTCTGTGCATCTGAAGATGAGTGCAGGGACTTGGGGAGGCTTTAAAAGTTGTTTTTGCGTCCCTCAGATGCTCGCTCACAAAATGTGCCAGTGAATCAAAGCACCTTCGCCTCTCAACCCTTTGCTTTAGATGAATTTTATTGTCTGTCAATTGACGACTTGTTTTAACCTCCTTTTCTTCTCATTATTTCCCTGAGTGTCCCCACTTTCCCCCTGCCTCTGTTGTGTTATTTTTCAACCCCGTGCTGTTTTTTTAAATCTATTTATCCTGTTGAATTTGCAGGACATTGCAAACGGTGGGGCCCTCGCACGCTCGCACGTACACGGTGGCTGTATATTTCAAAGGGGAGCGAATTGGCTGTGGCAAAGGCCCAAGGTGAGTAAGACAGTAGAACATATTAAGACCCAACAAGACGAGGTGCTTTCCCTTTCAGTGCACCACTAATGGGATGAGAATAATGGCTCCACCTTATTGATGGTGTTTATTATAGCAATTAAGCTCCGTTCTATTGGGAGAGACATTATGCAGAATGAAAATGAATCGATTCTATATTGATTTGACATCAATTTTGTTATGAAAGCTTCACTTTACAGCTGAGGAGCACATTGCCGAGGTGACACTGCAGCAGGAAATTATCACCTGACGTTGAAATGAAATAATGTTTTTGCCAGTGGTTTTATATTTGTATTCACCACAGATCAGGAAACCTTGGAAACACAAAAATGACAAAAACTTTGTGAATTTTCCAGATACAGTAACCCCTCGTTCATCGTGGGAGTTAAATTCCAGTCCCCCTCCCCCCCCAAACTGAAGTAGAAACACTATATTTATGTTAGTATTTATTTATATTTTAAGGTTTTATAAACCCTTCCCACACTCTTGCTATGTTCTAAACTCTTAAACCTATGTAATTTGTACATGTATGTACTGTAGAGTAGCAACTGCAAATTTTATATGAGTACCCACCAACCTTGGTCCCAGTTCTGGTCCAGTTCTGATCGGCTCTCTGCAGCCCTTGAGCACCAAGATGCTTTTAGAGAGAGCCGGACCTTTGGCTAGCCAGCGCAAAACCACACAGTCTTCCTGATCGAGTCCAAATCCGATGGAAAAACGTCCCGTTGAGCTCCGGAGAAAACACAGGACCTCCCAGCAACGCCTCCCCACTCCAGAGGGGTCGGCAAGCAGCACTCAGACTGACCGGTGAGGCTGGAAGTAGTCCTGGTCCGGTTCTGGTTTGGTTCTGAGCGCTCTGCATCCACTTAGCACCGAAGTCACTATGAATAAGGACCGAACTTTTTTGGATCGGCTCAAAACTTTCTCTCCATTTCAGCAGAAGGCAACAGCTCGAAGCACTGATTGCTTCTGGGTAATGTAGTCCTTCTGAGTAGCAATCCAGTGTAGACTTATTGAGAGAAAACTACAAAATGACGGCGCCTGTCCGAAGTTTTTTTTTGTTGTTAACTTTTTGCTGTTTGTTTTAATATTAAAGTTGACCATCGTGTGTCGTGTACAATCTTTTTTTTCTTTTTTAATCTTGTACAGTTTTACTTTGAAAATCCACGAAAGAACGAGTTTTCAAAAGTCGAACCACAAAGTGAGGGACTGCTGTACTGAGCTGATGTTTGGTGTGGTGGTAACAGAGAGTCACTCTCAGCTCTACACAATACCTGACATCTTTGTGTAAATTTTAGGCTGTGAATTTTGGCGTCAATCTTATTTGTTGGTCAGCAACATATTTCATAAACCACCAGAGAAGGTTTATTGGAACTCTCAGAAAGTGATCACTGGACGTGCACCTTCCACAGAATACTCTAAGCTGTCCACCACGCTCGCTGATATTTGCAAAAACAAAAGCTACATTTTGATGTTGCAGTGCCTGACAGTCGTTCCAAACTTGTGCCCAGAGTGCTGCACATGTTGGTAAATCTTCTCGACATGGTGCAGAAGGTCATGCACAAGGTTAAACCCAAATGGCTATGACTCTATCCCATCTCATCAAAGGTTGATCTCAGTTTAAAACTCTGACATGAAAGGCTCGATATGTATTATTTCAGGAAATGCTGGGCCTTTAAATCACATGGAAGTGTTGGGCTGCAGATCTTTTATGTGCCGTCACATGCTGTATTCATGAAGAGGGAAGAATCTTTACACGAGGGCCTTTTTTAGAGCTGGAGGGGTATATATACGATAAAGCTGCAGCTGAGCCTGCGAGAAATGAAACGTAAATCCAACAAACATCTCTCATCCCCTCCGTGCACATGTGAAAATCCCCTCCACGGCCCCCCTCCACTCGAAAGCGGTCCCTTTTTGCTCTGAGCTGGCGATAAGTTTGTCCCCTTTGCAGAATCTCTGACAGCTTGGTGTTTTTGTATTTACATGATTAAAGCTCCCCGCCACCTCTACGATCACACGCCACATAATGTACAGCTGAGAGACGTCAGGTACGGCTGTAAACAGCACCCAGCTCGGAACCACCGAGAGCCTTTCTAAATGTTACCTGCAATTGTTAGGCAAACTGATGCATTAATATTAAACATAATGCACTTTTCATAATCCTCCTTTTTCTTGTTTGACTGAATTTCAAACAGGCGCACTTTAAATACGCTAAAACCCTTTTCCCTTCTGTCTCCCTCTTTTAAAATACTTGTAGCATTCAGCAAGCAGAAATGGGAGCTGCGATGGATGCCCTTGAAAAATGTGAGTTCAGCATCACAAACCACTAACTTTTACTCACATAGTACTGTGTAATAGTTTTAAACCAACCGTCATATCCAACAAAGTTCAGTCGGGTCATCTGGACAGTTTCTTTTTTTTTTAGATGTTTTGTCCTTCATCCAAAGGACTTCATCAGTCCTTTGTGGGCAGTCCATCAGTGGTCCACTGGTTGGTCCACTATGGGAGTGTGCTGCTTGTATGACTCAGTTTGTTGTGGCTCCTCGGACTGATGAAGTCCTTTGGATGAAGGACGAAACGTCTCAACAAAAAAAGAAACCATCCAGATGACCTGACTGAGCTTTGGTGGATTGTTTTACCTGGATTATTGTGCATGAAATTTGATGTTTTCAACCGTCATATGTTCACGCTTTCCAAATGTTTTTTGTAATATTTTAATGTGGTCTGGAAGATGGTTCCTCAGGGTGTCTGGTTCTTTCTGAATTTTCTTTTGTTTTAGAACTTTGGTTGTTTCCTCCTATTTTCAGCCTCGAACCTGAAGGCAGCGTATCGTGTGCTTTAAAAAGACTGTCAAACAGAGACTTAAGGATCAGTTTACACAGAAGTCAGGAAGTGAATTTAATGAGATGCTTCCTTGTGATGTGGCGTTTAGACAACAATTTATTAGTGTCAAACGTTATTGCAAGAAAATGTGGAACAAAGAGAAGCTATATGAGATTTTAGATGAGCTAATCACAAAATAACCAATATTATAAGGAGCTAAGACGGGGGAGAGAAATGACAGAGGTTCTAGTTTGTGTGACTGTAATTGTGTACACGTACAGTATGTACATACAGATACTGACCCTGCTGATTCAGTCTGAAAGAGCTGGAATGATCTGTGGACTTAGAAACTGCAACAAAAAGTTTTTCTTGTGCTTGCCTGTACGACATCACTGTGCTTCACTTCACTTAATTATGAGCCTACAATTTAAAAATAACAATAAATGAGTAAAGCTGACAAGCTAAGGACAAAAGGTAACTTGAGAGGTACATATCTAATGACAAGCATGCTGGAGGATTGAAGAGAATTTATTATTGTTGGTTTGTTTCACAGCTCACTTAAAGTTTGCTCTGGTCATTAAAATATGCGCCGCAGTATTGCTCCCTGCTTCGACTGTGCTGAAAGTGAAACTTAATATGAACGGCAATGACTTGGAAGTAGCCTCCATGCGCCCTCTACTGGGTAATTGTACAATTACGTCTGGTTCTCAGTATTTTAGGGGTGAAAATGAGAAGTTTTTATATCAGTGCATAATGGGACAATTATGTTCCCAAACGCTTATGTTGGCTCTATCGATAGATCGGCCTGGCATTACGTAAAAGCTAAAAGTCCAATTAAAATCTTTATTTTATTTTATTTCATTATGTATTTTGCTTATTTGTCTGTTATGTTCAGAGATTCAGAGATTATTGTCATTCACACCACATGTGGCACATGTGGTGTGAATGAAGTTATGTATGCAGGGTCTCCGTTACATCCAACAATAAAATGTAAAAGACAAACAGTAATAAGATCTAAGATATGAACTAAGAAAAACATCAGCTAAAAATATGATAAGCACTAATGGCATAAAAACAATAAACACAATACGCCGATACACGATACGTCAATATATTATGTCAATACACCTCTAATTTGTCTTTTTATCTTTGGTGTTTAGGAGCCTTTGTTGCCTAAAGAGTTCATAAGTCAGAGTTAAGTTGCTTCAAAACACTGAAAATGATCAGGTACAGGGATGAAAAGAAGTCAAAAACAACCAAGTCCTAACAAAACTCAGAAAAACGTTCAGGAAGCCAGAACAAAAACTTGATTTACATCACTTTAAACGACCACACGGGCGTCTGGCTCAGTGGAATGTAAAGAAAGTAGGTCTAGATCATTTCTTGCACTTTTTTCTCACTTTTTAAGCCTTTCCCTTTCTTTGCCCTGGTGTTGAATACAAGCCTTGGCTGTACAGTATGGAGGATGGCTGGCAGAGAGCTGCTTCCTGACCAGCAGGTTGGCTGCAACATATAGGACGTTGGTCTATTTGAAGTGTTAGCCCAGAGCACAGGCACGAGGCCCAGAAAACCAAGCATCCTCCACCATGTCAGTCATCACAGGATGTTTCAGCTGAGAACCATAAAAAAGTTGGTGCTTTATTTTTGTTGCGCTTTCAAGCCCTTCTCCTAACAACAAGCGCGAGGCTTCACACCCTGATCGACGCTTGTGTGCTCAGCGCTCCTCTTCAGATTTGAAGGAGTGCGCCTGATGTGTCCCCGATGTGCCGCCTGGCTGTTTTTCATCTTGTTATTGTCTTTTCATCAACCAGCACTTAAGGAGAATAGATGGTGGTTTTTACAACGTCTCATTCACTGCCAAGTAAAATACAATTACAGAGCTCTCAGAAACACGTCCACCAGTCGCTCTCGTCGTCTCCCAGTCGCTTCATAGTCTCCATGCACGTGTGTGTGGCTCCATTACATCTAGCGTGTTCAGAAGTGAAATTTTGGACCGGATTTTCTATCCGCCACTTCATTAATCAAATGTAGATTTTTTTTTTTACTCTGATTATCTGGAGGTGAATACAAATGGCTTTGTCGGATCCTTCCAGGGGAACTGTCCGAGGGCTGGAAGGTCATCCTTTCATTTTATTTGGCTCTAAATGAGGCCGCCATCCACTTGTGATTGATACTGTTTGTGCTCTCAGGCTTCAGCGTTTTTTATGTTATTTGTAAAGGTGTTATAATTTAAAGCACTCCTCTGTCTGTTTTAGGCTGGTTGTGCCCCTCGCCCCCCTCCCTCCTTATCAGGGGGCGTAGTTCAGCGCACACACTCCATCTCCTGTGTCTTCCTCCCTCCCCTAATTCCACCCGTTTCCTCTCCCCAGTGTACTCCTCTGTCACCAAGATTGATAGATGCTCATTGCTAGTAAATGAACATTTCCCCCCTCATAAATTGCTGTTTCATGTGACTAGATTAGCGATGCCTTTTAAAAGGTCAGTTAATTTAAAATCATCTCAAGTACTCCCTTGTTCAGTGCAAAGTGCCTCCAGTTGAACGGCTTTGTTTGACTTTGTATCCACGCCTAATTCAAATCCAACAATCTAACAACCAGTCAGCTTAATGAACTCTTTTTCACCTGATATGTTTAGGATGAGCTGTGTGATTTTGAACTAGATTCAGTGTGTTATTGATGCAGTCTCTTGGCAGAAATGGAGAAAACATCTCAAAATGAATCATTGATTTCTAAATGTTGCTTACACTGTTTTTATAGCGGATAAATAAATGCTTTTTTCAGGCTCATGTAGCACCAACATGTTACCGCAGTAAATTAGAGAGAACAAAAGCAAACACTGGCTCTAAAAACAGATTATTTAAAAGTAATTTTGTGTTCTGAACTCCCAGTTCCACTTGCTTGGAAAGAAATTATTTGTGTTTAGTTGCATTCTATGATTTAAACACTAGATGGCACTAAATCCTAACATCTCTCATCTAAAACTACCAATTGTTCAGCCTATAAGTTGTGTTTTTTTGCATAATTTGCATTCCCTGCGACTTGTGCATGGATTTTTTTCCCATATTTATGAACCAATTTTTGGCTGAGATATGACCTCATGATTCATTCTGAGCGAAAATACTGAACACTTCCGTTTTCAGCCACTAGATGGCACTTGAGTAGTATGGCAAGCCGTTGTCATGTAATAGGTAAAAGTGGCTATTAATGACACAGTCGGCTTGCCATAGCCTGCCACCTTCGTCCAGCTCGCATGGAGCAAACATCCAATCAGCTTAATTTCACTGCGCCGCCCCGGTGAAATGCAGCTAATTTGACCATTGACGTGCATTTATTAAGGAAAAGTTAAAATGAGACACACCTTTACTAAAATTATGAGCAAACAAATAATTGTTTTTAAGTTTTAATCTTGTTAAATTCATGTTAAAGTCCTCCCGTGCACGCTCCCGCGGCCACCAGTTGGCAGCCAATCGATTTTTGACACAACACCGCCCACATTTCCGGGTTGTCAGCGGTGACGCGTAGTAGATGTGACTTATACGGCGAAGCGACCTATTTATGGATTTTTCCGGTTTTTTTAGACATATTGGACTGATGTGATTTATAGGGCGGTGAGACGTGTATGGAGGAAAATACGATACTTATAAGTTGAAGCACACAGTTTGCTGAAAATCTTAAATGTAGTGTTTTAGAGACAAAAAATACACTAAACTGCTTTTGACAACCAGCAGCAGTCAAATACCCCCAGTCGTCTCTCCTCGTCTCCCCATCTGGAGAAAAAAAAAATCAAGATTTTAAAGACTGAAAAGATTTCAGCTTTAACATGTTTTGCCAAAACTAATGTACAAAACAACTTCAGCAGCAACAAAGATAAAGTTTTCACCTCTTTTTTTTATTGTTGCTCACGTTAGCGTTTGACTTTAGACTCATTTAAAACTGTGTTCAGAGGTAAAACTATAAAAGTTAGTTGAGTCAACTTGTGATTTTACTAAGCATTCAGACTTAAAAATAAATGAACTAGTAAAGAAACACTTTGATGTTAAAATGACACGTTTTGAAGACTATGTAATGCAAAGATGTTTTGCTTGGGAGATTCAATCTTCAGTGAATGAATTTACGTTTTATTAGTTGATGTCCGGGCGGCACGGTGGCTCAGTTGGTAGAGCTGTTGCCTCTCAGCGAGAAGGTCGCCAGTTCAAATCCCAGCCCAGGACCTTTCTGGGTGGAGTTTGCATGTTCTCTCCGTGCATGTGTGGGTTTTCTCCGTGTACTCCGGTTTCCTCCCACAGACCAAAAACATGCATGTTAGACTGATGGTAACTCTAAATTATCTCTTGGTGAGAATGAGAGAGTGAATGTTCGTCTCATTTGTCTCTGTGTGTCCCTGTGATGGACTGGAGACCTGTCCAGCGTGTCCCCCACCTCTCACACAGTGATGGCTGGATATGGGCACCAGTGCCCCCCCCCCCCCCCCCCCCCAATAGG